AGAGAAGGCTCAAGACCTTGTCAAACTACAACTCCCATGGTTCCACAGCTTTAAACCATTGTAGTTAAAGTAATGTCAAACTGTACTAACGCTATGATATATCAGGCATGTGTAAACTTGGGCACTCTGGGTGTTTTTTGGACTGCAGCTCCCACAATTCCTGACAGACTCAGGCGCTTTCCTTTTTCCCCTCAGCCACTTAAGCGTAAAAGGCCTGAGGCCGTTAGGCCCTTCTCGCACTCCTGCCTCCATAGCAAGTGCGACTTGTGGAGACGAGGGACAGGGCCTTCTCTGTGGTGGCCCCCGACTCTGGAATTCCCTCCCCAGAGAAATTAGGCAAGCACCCACCTTGGCAGTCTTTAGGAAGAGCTTGGAAACTTGGCTGTTCCAGTGTGCCTTCAAGGAATAATTAATTGCACGATAACCTCTAACCTGACCAAACTCTGCAAAATAATTGTCCTTGGAAGCACTTTATTTTCTACATACTAGCGCAATTAAACCCTACTTTCGTCCCTCTGATTTATTTATTTATTTATTTACTATTCTTGTATCCCGCTGTATCTCAAGCCCGAGGGTGACTCACAGAGGTTTCCAAACAGCAAACAGCAAAGACAATAAAAACAGAAATAATTAATAAGCAATAACAGTTAAATTACACATTTCCATTACTAGCTAATAAACAATCATCAATACACAGTTATCACAATCCCACCCCCGATCGCCTCATCATCCAAGCATGATCCAAATTCGTCGTCCATTGTTCCATTCCTATGTTCAAATTACCAGAATTGCACTGAATTACTCAAACGCCTGCACAAACATCCAGGTCTTCAACTTTCTACGGAATGTCATGAGAGATGGTGCCAGCCTAACGTCTACAGGAAGGGCGTTCCACAGCCGAGGAGCCACCACCGAGAAGGCCCTATCTCTCGTCCCCGCCAACCGTGCTTGAGAGGCTGGCGGGATCGAGAGCAGGGCCTCCCCGGAAGATCTCAAAGTCCGGGTGGGTTCATAGGCCGAGATGCGGTCAGATAGGTATCTTGGGCCGGAACCGTTTAGGGCTTTATAGGCCAGTACCAACACCTTGAATTGGGCCCGGTAGCAAATCGGCAGCCAGTGGAGCTGGTGCAACAGGGGGGTTGTGTGCTCCCTGCGCTCCGCTCCTGTTAGAATCATGGCTGCCGCGCGTTGGACTAGTTGCAGCTTCCGGGCCGTCTTCAGGGGCAGCCCCACGTAGAGAGCGTTGCAGTAGTCTAGGCGGGATGTGACAAGAGCGTGTACCACCGTGGCCAAGTCAGACTTCCCAAGATACGGGCGCAGCTGGCGCACGAGCCTGAGCTGTGCAAATGCTCCCCTGGTCACCGCCGAGACCTGGGGCTCCAGGCTCAGCGACGAATCCAGGGTCACACCCAAACTGCGAACCTGTGTCTTCAGAGGGAGTGCGACCCCATCCAACACAGGCTGTAACCCTATACCCTGTTCGGCCTTGCGACTGACCAGGAGTACCTCTGTCTTGTCTGGATTCAACTTCAATTTGTTCGCCCTCATCCAGACCGTCACAGCAGCCAGGCACCGGTTCAGGACCTCGACAGCCTCCTTAGTAGCAGGTGGAAAGGAGTGACAGAGTTGGACATCATCTGCGTACAGATGACACCGTACCCCGAAACTCCGGATGATCTCACCCAGCGGCTTCATGTAGATGTTAAACAGCATGGGAGACAGAATATAACCCTGTTGAACCCCACAAGACAATGGTTGTGGGGATGAACAAGTGTCCCCCAATAACACCTTCTGGGAACAACCCTCCAGAAATGATCGGAGCCACTGCAGAACAGTGCCTCCGAGACCCATTTCCGCAAGGCGCCCCAGAAGGATACCGTGGTCGACGGTACCGAAGGCCGCTGAGGTCCAGAAGCACCAACAGGGACACACTCCCCCTGTCGAGCTCCCGGCGCAGATCATCCACTAAGGCAACCAAGACTGTCTCAGTTCCATGTCCCGGTCTGAAACCAGACTGTGCCGAGTCTGGATAATCCGTGTCTCTCAAGAATACCTGGAGTTGTGAGGCCACCACGCTTTCCAGGACTTTGCCCAAAAAGGGGAGATTGGAAACCGGCCGAAAGTTGTCAAATTTAGTGGGATCTAGTGATGGTTTCTTCAACAGCGGTTTTATTCTCTCTGATCCTCTGTCCATATACAATACATTGCCTTCTCATCCAGTGTTTTAAACTTAATTCTTGCTATTGGCCCTGCCTACTATGATTTATTTCCTTGTGTTTAAATTACTGTGACTTTACATGGTTGTTGTTTATTTACATTGTTTCTTGTATTTTATTTTTTATTTTCGTATTTTACTGTTGTTGTATGCTGTTTATTTGCATTGTTGTATTGTTGGGCTTGGCCTCATGTAAGCCACCCCGAGTCCCCCTGGGGAGATGGTGGCAGGGTATAAATAAAATTTGTTGTTGTTGTTATTATTATTATTTGAAACACAACAAGATGAGTCCACAGCAGACAAGATCACTCTGCTGGCTGTTGTATTAGATCATACGTCGGACACTTCCCAAGTATCTAGGACTATGTGATGTATCAGCGAATAATGCGTGAGTATTATCCCAGTAAGGTGGCCTTCTGCAGCTGGCAGATGGTAATCTTGTCAGCGCCGATTATGTTTAAGTGCAGGCCAAGGTCTTCAGGCACTGCACCCAGTGTGCCGATCACCACTGTGACCACCTTGACTGGCTTGTGCCAGAGTCTTTGCACTTAGATCTTTAAATCCTCATATTGTGTCAGCTTTTCCAGTTGTTTCTCTGCAATCCTGCTGTCACCTGGGATTGCGACATCGACAATCCATACTTTGTTTCTTAACACGATCGTGAGGTCAGGAGTATTGTGCTCCAAAACTGTGTCCATCTGAATTCGGAAGTCCCAGAGGACTTTGCCGTGTTCATTCTCTGTAACTTTTTCTGGCTTGTGATCCCACCAGTTCTTTGTTGCAGATGGTATTTGTGGCACAAGTTCCAATGAATCATTTGAGCAACGGTGTTATGCTTCTGCTTGTAGTCTGTCTGCACAATCTTCTTGCAGCAGCTGAGGATGCGAGCTATTGTTTCATCTGCTTCCTTGCAGAGTCTACATTTGGGATCTGTCCTCGACCTTCCAATTTTGGCTTTGATGGCATTGGTTCTAATGGCTTGTTCTTGGGCTGCCAGAATCAGGCCCACCATCTACTTTTTCAAAGTTCCACTTGTGAGCCACAGCCATGTTTTTTTTTGTCAATTTGGCTCTCAATTTTTGCAAGAACCTGTCCATGGAGAGCCTTCTTTCACCAGTTTTCTCTTCTGCTCTGGACTGTGTTTATTATTATTATTATTAATTGTGGGAGTTGCCGTCCAAAACACCTGAAGGGCCCAATATTGCCCATGCCTGATAACTAGGATAGGTATTGTCATGAAAGGCACTGCAGACTACTTCAACCAGAGAAGTCAGCCATAGCAGAGCACCTGATGAACCAACCTGGACATAGCATTTTATTTGAGAACACAGAAATGCTGGACCACTCTCACAACCACCATGTCAGGCTACACAGAGAAGCCATTGAAATCCACAAGCATGTGGACAATTTCAACAGAAAGGAGGAAACCATGAAAATGAACAAAATCTGGCTACCAGTATTAAAAAAACTCTAAAATTACAACAGCAAAACAACAGAGAGGAAACAATCAGACACATCTAATCACCTCTCAACAAAAGATTGCCCCAGGCATTGCCAGACCATCAAATTCTAATGAAGGTGGTCAGTTGAAACATTCACATCTAGCTCCAAAAGACAAGAGTTCTTTGGCCCACCCTGGTCATTCCACAGATATATAAACCCATTTCCCTACTTCCAACAGACCTCACTACCTCAGAGGATGCTTGCCATAGATATAGGCGAAACGTCAGGAAAGAATGCCTCTAGAACAGTGGTTCTCAACCTTCCTAATGCCGCGACCCTTTAATACAGTTCCTCATGTTGTGTTGACCCCCAAACATAATCCTAACATTATGAATCGCCATGTAAATAATGATCTGTAGGATGTATTTTCAGTCACTGTAGCAAATTTGGCACAAATACCCGGTATGCCCAAATTTGAACACTGGTGGGGTTGCCGGGGGGGATTGATTTTGCCATTTGGGAGTTGTAGTTGCTGGGATTTGTAGCTAGCATGTAAACAAAGAGCATTCTGAACCCCACCAACAATGGAATTGAACCAAAGTTGGCACAGAGAACTCCCATGATCAACAGAAAATACTGGAAGGGTTTGGTGGGCATTGACCTTGAGTTTGGGAGTTGTAGTTCGCCTACATCCAGAGAGCACTGTGGGCTCAAACAATGATGGATCTGGACCAAACTTGGCACTAATACACAATATGCCCAAATGTGAACACTGATGGGGTTTGGGGAAAATAAACTTTGACATTTGGGAGTTGTAGATATTCGGGTTTATAGTTCACCTACAATCAAGGAGCGTTCTGAACCCCACCAATGATAGAATTGGGCCAAACTTCCCACACAGAACCCCCATGACCAACAGAAAATACTGTGTTTTCTGATGGTCTTTGGCGACCCCTCTGACACCCCTTCGCGACCCCCTCAGGGGTCCCGACCCCCAGGTTGAGAAACACTGCTCTAGAACATGGCCATATAGCCTGAAAAAACCTACAACAACCCAACTAGGATAAGAACTGGCGAAAGTAGAGACCGCGCGCCTAAAGGCAGACAGGCGCGCCAGCGAACTCAGAAGCTCCCATTCCTTTTCCTATTGGCTGACGTCTACTGGACTCGGCGGCTGGTTGGCTGAGCGGCTTGCGCTTCTCGGGCGGGGATTGGAGGAGAATTAGCATGGGGAGGACGGAATTCCCGGGCAAAGCCGAAGGAGCCGCGAACAGCAGTGTGGTGGAGTCGCTCCCTGCAGGTGGGGCGGCTTAGCGCCCGCGCATGCGCACTTGGGGTGTGTATGAGAGCTCTTTTACAAACTTGGGGGAAAGGCGAGGGGAGCGTTGTTGCTGCTGGTGCTGCAGCTGTCAAGAGGAAGAAAGGGAGAAGAAGGGAAGCCAAGGAGACAAAGGGCAGGGCGAGGCTTTGCGAGGAGGAAAAGGAAGAAAGGGGGGGGGGGGGAAGAGAGAGAGAGAGGTGGAGCCTGGAATCCTTGGGGAAAAGCAGAAGGACACCAGGGAAAGTTGCGCCAGGATTATTTTTATTATTTCGTTTCCATTCCGCCAAACGCCAGAGAAGGGAGAAGCAACCTAAGCCCAAGAAGAAGAAGAAAACCCCAACTTGGACCAGCAAGGTGGATTTCTGCCTCTGGGTGCATCTACACTGCGGAATTGACGCAGTTTGGAACCGCTTTAACTGCCTCGATCCCAGGATTTGCACTTTGCACTCTTTGGCAGAGAAGGCTCAAGACCTTGGGGGAACTCCAACTCCCAGGAGGCCTTGTCCTTTAAAGTGTTGTCAAGCTGCAGTGTGGATGCACCCCAGGAAGGAAAGGGATCCCAAGACAGAGGCGATGATGAAGGGGGAAAGGGGCAAGTTGGCAAACTCCTGATTATTGTTGTTCCTTTGCTTTTATTCCAGAGGGAGAAATAACCCATCCCATCCAAGCTCAGAGGACATAATGGGTGACACAATGCATGGCTCAGGTGCTTCGGCAAAAAAAGGTATTGTATTTGCTGAGTTGGTGGCTGGCACTAATTCCAGTTTTCTCCTCCCTATCAGTAGTTTTGTGGGCAAGGGCATCCTATCCTTGAAGCCCCGGTGAGTAATAAAATGCATCCATACCAAATTTGGGCCCTCCAGGTGTTCTGGACTCCAACTCCCTCCATTCCTCACAGCCTCAGGTCCCTTCCTTTCCCCCCTCAGACGCTTAAGCTGCTGAGGGGGGAAAGGAAGGGACCTGAGGCTGTGAGGAATGGTGGGAGTTGGAGTCCAGAACACCCGGAGGGGCCAAGATTGCCCATGCTTGATACACCATAGCATTAGTCCAGTTTGACACAACTTTAGCTACCATGGAGCAATGGGAGTTGTAATTTTACAAGGCCTTGAGCCTTCTCTGCCCAAAGGTCAGCTGGTGCCTCACCAAACTACAAATCCCACAGTGCCCTAGCAGTTCAGGTGGTGCCAAACTATATTAATTCCATACTGCAGATCCTCCCAGGATGAGAGTTTATATTCCTGCCTATTTAAGATCGGAGCTGAATGGTAACTTTTTGAACTCTTCTAAAAGAGCTCGCTAAAAAGGCAGGTGTGACCTTGCATACTGTACGAAGCAAATTAATAGTGTTTTATAAGAGGAAATTCTGGATTTTTGATTGTACTAGACATAAACCTTTTCTGTTGCTGTTCAGAAGTACCTTGAATCACTTCTGGATTTTTTTGGTGTGTACAATACAATATAAGTGGGTTCCTGAGTTAGTAAGCTCAACAAATATCCCACTTATACAGAAAATAGAATTCAACGTATAATTGTTTAAAGTTGTTATATAGTTCAAATTCACAGTATGTTGGTGATTACTGTGAAATTGAACAGTATAATAAGTTTATATAATTATATGTTGAATTCTATTTTCTGTATAAGTCGGATATTTGAACTTTTTTTGGTGTGTGTCTGGAGTGACTTGAGAAACTGCAAGTCGCTTCTGGTGTGAGAGAATTGGCCGTCTGCAAGGACGTTGCCCAGAGGACACCCGGATGGTTGATGTTTTACCATCCTTTTGGTAGACTTTTCTCATGTTCCCGAATGGGGAGCTGGAGCTGACAGAGGGAGCTTAACCCACTCTCCCCGGATTCAAACCGCTGACCCTTTGGTCAGTAGTCCTGCTGGCACAAGGGTCTAACCCATTGCACCACCGGGGGCTCCACTTCTGGATTGATTTTAAGCTTTACTTTATTCAGTCTGTAATGGATTGCTGTGAGTTTTCCGGGCTGTATGGCCATGTTCTGGAAGCATTCTCTCCTGACGTTTCCCCCACATCTATGTCAGGCATCTTCAGAGGTTGTGAGGTCTGTTGGAAACTAGACAAGTGAGGTATGTTTCTTAGATGTATGTAAACAAGGACTGAAACTCTCCCTAGGCAGATTTTCCGCTGAAATGGTAACAGTTCCTCACCTCCAGAGATCAAAATAATGAATTGCTTTTAGAGAAACCCTTAACACCAGAGAATACGGTTAACATCTTGTCCTGTGTTTGGTTGACCTTGCAAATAAGTCTAATGGGTTTTCAGGCCTCAGAGGGCACTCAGATTCATTATTCACAATGAGGATTTGGAGTACATTCTTGTAAAAGCACAGGAAAAGATTTCTACTTTTCTGCCTTTCCTAACAAATAGATGTTCTGCTCCAACAGAAGATCGAGTATCTGCAAAAGTATTCTTGTGTTATTGAAGACTTTCATGGCCGGAATCACTGGGTTGCTGTGAGTTTTCCGGAGTGTATAGCCATGTTCCAGAAGCATTCTCTCCTGATGTTTATCCCGCATCTATGGCAGGCACCCTCAAAGGTTGTGAGATCTGTTGAAAAGTAGGCAAGAAGGGTTTATATATCTGTGGAAAGTCCATGGTGGGGGAAAGAACTCTTGTCTGTTTGAGGCAAATGTTAATGTAGCAATTGACCACCTTGATTAGCATTGAATGACCTTGCAGCTTCAAGGACTGGCTACTTACTGCCTGGGGAATCCTTTGTTGGGAAGTGTCAGCTGGACCTGATTGTTTTCTGTCTGGAATTGTCCTGTTTTCTGAGTGTTGTTCTTTATTTACTGTAGAGAATGCTTCTGGAACATGGCCATACAGCCCAGAAAACTCACAGCAACCCAAAAGTATTCTTGTTTCTTGTACTTCCTTAAGTAAACTCTTAATATGTTTTGCAGTCTATCTGAGGATGCATCTACATTGTAGAATTAATGCAGTTTGACACCACTTGAATGCTATAGAAGTTTGATGAGTTATCTGACAAAGAAGGACATGGCAGTTACTGCAGTGTCAAACTCATTAATCCTACAGTGTAGATGCACCCAAAGTTTCCATTTTCTCCCCAAAGGTCTTTGCTTGAGCTATATAGATAAAATTCAGTGTAACATACTGGTTGTGGTGAAGATTCTGGTTAGTACTGAAGACACAATGCATTAATCAATCAGTAAGAGGCCCAGCAATGTGATACTTTAGATACTTTAGATTAGAAGAGCTGAAATACAACAAAAACTTTGACTAAATCAAAAATACATTCCTAGCAGTGGGTTTTCTACCCTAAAGTATATGGGTTGCAATTGTGAAAAAAGTGTTGTTTTACATTTCTTTACACAACCCCCCCCCCCCCAAACCCAGTGAAAAGAATCTTTAAATTCTTTCTAAAGCAGTTGCCTATTTGATTAAGCTCAACTAATAAGACAGTTCAGTATTCTGGCCAATAGTATAAATGCTAATTACTCTTTCGCAGGAAGCATTTCTGTATTTACAAACACAAATCATGTTGTTTGTGGGATTGTAGAGTACAGCTAGCCTTGTAGGGTCCCAGGGCCTCTTGAACGGACTTTCAGAAGACTTTCCTCTCTCCCACTCAAAAAGTATTGACATTTAATTGACCTTTGAAGGCTCGTTCTGTTAATCATACTCAAAAGCACTAAAGCTATGCTTGACTGATCTGGTGTTTCTTCCATTTAGTCGTGTTCGGCATATAAATTCTGCGGCATAATTGCTACTTATTGAGCAAGAGTTTCTTTTCTTTGCTGGAAAAGGGAGAGACTTTCTTTGCCCCAGGCGGAGCACTTGTAAGAGTAAGTCCGGATTCAGAATGCTTTCCTATCATTAGTCGGAGGGTGTGTCTTCTACCCAGGAAAGCAATGGAAATTCCTGCTTTTTTTAATGCTTCCTTGAGCAGTTTGCTGTAGTTAGATGGATAACCTTGAAAGTCCTCTGCCTCCTGTAAGCTGAAGCACATGTTCTTAAAAACTGTGTTCATGATCTGTTGTCCTTAAAGTATATTTTCCTGGCATAATTAATGCTTTAGTTTCCTGGCATGCTTAATGTGGCAGATAACTGCCTGCATCAGAGTCTGTTGGAAGACGTATTTACACTAAACTTTGCAACCAATATATTTAGTGTGATGAATTTACAGTAAATTATGAAGCACTGGAACAAAAGCACGTATTATACTTGCACTTCTGTAGTTCAGTCTTGTCTGTAACCTGCCAAAAGCATGTGCAGACATAGGCTTTTTTTTCTCTTTTGGGTGCATTTATGTATTTAGTATATTTATATACCGCCTTTCTCACCCCTGGAGAGACTCAAGGCAGATTGCAACATATTAATGGCAAGAATTCAATGCCAACATACATATAATAAAATAAAATCACAATAACTAATCACTGACATATAACTTTAAATTAAAATCATTAAAACCATTAAACATAGGCATATAGAACTTGTAAACACTAAGACAAAACATTAAACATCCTAATATAAATATGAAAAACACATGATCCAAAAATCATGTGTATTGAGGAATGTCTATTGAACCAGTTAACCTATATTAGTTGCTTTTTGAACATATAACTTTGATCTGTCCTTTTGTATCTTCAGCACTTGCAAAGAGAAGGTTGCATCTGCACTGTAGAACTAATGCAGTTTGACACCACTTTCATTGCTATGGCTCAATGCTATGAATTCCTGGGAGCTGTAGCTTTACAAGGTCTTTTGCCATCTCTTCCAGAGTGCTGATGTCTCACCAAACTTCCAACTCCTACAAGTCCATAACAGTGAGTAGTTAAGCAGTGTCACATTGCATTCATTCTACAGGGTAGGTGCATCCCAAGTGCCAATTCTCCATGCCATTCATTTCAAGGGGAGTTTTTAAAAAACTTGATCATCCAGTGCCTACATTCTAAAGTAATGCCCATAGGATTTTTTGCAGTTTTCCACTATAGTTGAAAAGTTCAGTTTCTAAGTACTTTGTTTAAAATGCTTGTGGCAAAAGCACAATGTGCTAAGACAAACTTGAAGACGTTTTCCAAACTCAAGTTTTGTTTGCATGACCGGGAGTCTCCATAAACTGCGGGCTAATTATTTAGCCACTTAAGCATACATAGGCATGTACAGATTAAAATTTAAGAGGCTTATGGTACCAGAGACATAAATGCATCAACACTACAATTAATGCTGTTTAGCACCATTTTAACTGCTATGACTCAATGCTACGGAGTCATGGGAGCTGGAGTTTTGCAAGGTCCCTAACCTTCTCTGTCAAGTAGGGCTGGTGCAACTCCCATGATTCCATAGCATTGAGTCGTGGTGGTTAAAGCGGTGTCAAAGTTCAATTCTGTAGTGTACTTGCACCCTGAGATGCCTTACAGTCCGATCTCATAAGGTCATAGTTTGACATTCAAATGCAAAGTTGGGCTGTATGTGTAATCAAGATTTAGTTCTCAGCTGTGAAACCCTCTGCCTGTGAGACCCTCAAAATTTGCAGTTTGTGCCTCTTGAGAACTAAGGTTGCCACTTAACCTGTCCCCAGCAGAGTCATTTAGATGAGAGGTACCTGGTGGCCTATGAGACATTATACATTACTTTATGTTTAGCCTTGCCAACTCTTAAGTCACATGGCACAACTCTTGCCACATCTTTGGAATCTACTCTTTAGACTTATGTCGGCCAAAGATGTAGGATGCATA